GAACCAGAAAAATCACCTCTACAACTTTTCTTAGAGCTAGAAGAAAGGTTTACTTATTAAAAAATTTTTTAATTTTTAAAAAATCTAATTTTTACTATATAAATACTAAAAATAGAAAATCTTGTAAATTTTTGTATAACTCATGGTGAAAATAGCAAATTACCATGGTGGAAATAGGCATTTCCTATAAATAATTGATTGTTAATAATAATTTTACAAAGTTTTGGCATTTAGTTTACCATGTATAAATAAATTCTTAATGCTTAAATTCGATTTATCAGCAAAGATTTAACAGGGTAAGCCAACATGCATTTATTTATTCATATCTAATACTGTTAATGAATTAGTTGTTGCACTTCTTTGCTTTGGGTTCTAGTTTTTAAGCAAATCAATATATACTTGCTTATATGATTTATAATGATCATTTTATTGCAATAATTAAAACTCTGCACTTTGTTTATATGAATTCAATGCAAGTGGCTTTTTATACTTACACTTATACTTTTATACCTACATACTTATATTTATACTTATATTTGCTTTTTTTCAATATAATATGTTCACACCTCTTGAATTCTCTTTATAATGATAATAAAAAGTAAGTAGTATAGTTGTTCTTTTTTTTTTTATGTTTATAATGATTATACTTATCTTGGCTTTAAATTTATTTAGGTTTTTCTTTTGATGAACTTCAAACTGATCTATCTTTTTTTCTTAGCAATAATAATAATAATCTTACAGGAAATTTTTAAACTGTCTTGCTTATGATAGAATGTGATGATAGCTTTAATAAGTTTTAAGCTGATCTATTTTTTTTTTTTAGTGATATTAATGATAATAACCTTACAAAGAATTTTTAACATATCTTATCTATGATAGAATGTAGTGATAATTTTAAGGAGCTTCAAGCTGATTTGCCTTTTCTTAGCAATATTAATAATAAACTCACAGAAAGATTTCAAACTGACTTATTATTTTTTTAAATGAAACTGATATGGTAAAATGTAATAATAATTTTAAAGAATTAGCCTGTAGTCAAAATTACTATATAAAACCTTCTCAAGAAGGTATGAATAATAATATAGATGTAGAATTTCAAAGAAGTATAGACAAAGAACTTTCTTAAAAAAGTTCAGAATTAGAAGATACTGCTTATATTAAAGTTGGTGACATATTTATTTTATAGAAAGTAGCTAAGATATGACTTAATCAATATGCAAAATCTGTTAAATTTAGCATATGCTATAAATGAGTCGAAGTTGATAAAGATAGAATAGTTCATCAACAAATATTTAAATATAGTTTTTCCAGAAAAGCAATTTCTAATCAAGTTATTAATCTAACTCAACAGCATTAGCATCTTTCTAAAAAAATTAAATGCTTGTAGTACATAAATTTAACTTAATCTAAAGCTATATCAAGAGTAGATATTACAAGTATTCTTGGTTAGCATAATTATTCTATAATACCTGATATAACTTTATATGCACCCAAATACTATAGATTGTTAGATAATATAATGAAGCAAATTAAGTTTTATATAACCAAAGAAAGCTTAGAATCAAAACAGCAACACCCTTTAATAGTTGCAAGCTTTCCGAATTAATTAATCTATAAAAGAGATATTTACAATACCATTTACAGTTTTAAAACACCTCTGATTAAACATCAAGAAGATACACAAAATTTGATTAATAAATTGTTTAATTTACAAGACCAGGAGACAAGTTGAATAATTAAGACAAGACTTGATCCTTTAGATAATAGACTTACAGGATTGTTTTGGATATCATCTAGTCAACAACAATATCTTTTATGATACAATAATGTAGTACAAACAAATAACACTAGTCAAACGAATTGATTTAATATATACTTAACTCTCCTTGTTGTTATTGATAATAATATGAAAAGTCAACTTGTTGCCTAATGTTTATCAAATAATAAGACAAGTAAAAGATATAAATGGTTCTTTGATTGCATTTTTCAAGTAACAAATAATGTTTCACCTATTTGCATATTTTCTGATATGGACCTTGTTTTGATAAATGCTATAGCATTAAAAATATCTACTGCTCATTATTTTCTCTGCATTTTCTATATAAAAGAGAATTTATATAAGAATCTAGCAAGTTAATAACAGCATGATAGTGTTTGATTTGTATATATTTAATTAACTTAGAACACAATATACATATACAACTAAAACTAGACAATATGTATCAAATATGTTTATAGTTTTGGAAAAATGAAGGCTGCACTTAATTTGGCACTTGATATAGGTTGTAAAGATGAGCTTGTTGATATAATAAGTGGTTTTATTGATCAGAAGAAAACTAGTTTGAATAGTAAAAACTATGAAAACTATGAAAATTTGTATGTATTGGTATATAAATATAAATTTAACTATTTTGACCCAATTCGTTTATATGAACTTGTTTACAAAAGCTGTTTAGCATTATAATTAACAATTAACTAATATATTACTACTACTAGGTATATTATACTATTCTGAAGGATCCTTTAGTGCAGAAGCTATGTGGACATTGGCCAACTAAATGTATCAAGTTATTAACAAAAAACAAATCACAACATATTAGCACTAGAAATAGTACAGTATATCTGATTGATCCAAATTTATGTATATATAAAAAGAAGTTAAATCATATTAGAAATACTGCGATTAGAACTCTACTTAATGCTTTTAATAGCAATTCTAATGAAATTGATAGTAGTATTTCTACTAGAACAACTCAAGGCATGAAAGAAAATACTAAATGGAAATATGTTTGTAATACATGTAGGAAGCTTAGTCACAATTCTCAAAAGTATAACAAATAGAATAAGCTTATAATATAAGAGATATATGTATCACTTTATAGCAAAGGAATTGATTGGCTAATTTTATACCTAAGGCATGGATAAATAATATATAATATTGATATTGTTAGTTATACAAATCCAAATATAGTAATTGAGTATCGCTTAATATAGCAATCATTGTATAATATGTATAATTTTTAATAATGGTTTTATATAAAAATTCTAAATCTATTTAAATTTCATTTCTACTTACAACATGTGCAGGTGAGTATTAAGAAACCTAATATTTAGCTATTTGATTCACTATGTTGTATGTTAAAATCTTTTAGCTATATAAATTGTACAGATAGTTATATAATAATTACACTATAGCTATATGGATAGTTGTATAGATAATTATATAGTAGTGGATAGGTTAGAATTTAGAACTAGTTTATTTTCATATGTTAAAACCAAGATTAAATGGTTTTTATATATAAAGAATAAAACCAGCTTCAAACTCTAGTTATGCAGAATGGTTATACAATAATAGTATAATATGTAATAGTTATATAATAGATATAACATATATAGTAATTATATATAGTCATACAATATATATATAGTCATACAATAGTTATACAAATTTATATTTATATATTATATACTATGGTAATGATCACTGCCGGTTATAGTTAAAAATATTCAATTAAAAAATACTAAAATTATATATATAATTTTAATTGATAGTTTATAAAATAATTAATTTTTTATAATAAATTTTTAAAAATTGATATTTTTATACTCTTTTTTAATAATGCTATACTCTTATTAATTATTTTAATTATATTAATTTTTTTAAAAACTTTAATTAAAGATATCTCAATATATATCTAATTAAATTTGTTAAATTTTTTTTTATTTTAATTTAAAAATCTGTAGAATTTTAGAAAAAAAAGTTCATAAAAAAATTATAACTTTTTTTAATAATTACTTGATACCAAAATTCTAGAAAAAAACCAATTTACAAAAAATAAAAAACTAATATAATAGTACAAAACAAAGTTTTAAGATTAATTCATAAAATAGCATCTATTGTTTAGAGGTAGTTCTTATATATTATCTGCTAGTAGACTTAGAGTTTATTATTTATTACAAGAATAGTACATGTTATTTAAAAGTATTTCTTATATACTACTTGTTGATAGGTTTAGAGTTTATTATTTACTGAACAAAAAGCATCTAGCTCCATATTGAATATATTAGATTTTTTGCTATTAAAAACAACTTTTTTTAATATCTAAAATTTTTATATAAGTGATTTCTCTTTACTTCTTTACTATTTACTAGTCTTCTAAAATTTTTGACAAAAAGTAGGCAAAATAGCTTACTTTTTTCAAAAGATTAATATTGTTTATATCTACCAAATTTAGACAAACTCAGTAAAATACAACTACATGTTTGTTTTTATCAACATAGTGCTATGTCATAAGACAAGAATAGATGCTCTGGTTAAAGGATACCCAATATTAAAAATATTACCCAGGTCAGATAGCCTGTACAAATTACCTGACCCAACAGATTATGTATCAAAATTTGATCTGATCTGAATTAAATAAGTTAGAAGTAAAAATAAATTAACTGCTACAAATATTTATAAATAACACTAAATTATACTACATATAATCACATCTGTATTAAATTAATATATACAGTATTATTTAGTATATCATATATCATATATATGTATATACAGATTAAATATTAGATATTTTTTAGATTTAAAGAGATATTTAAATTAATATTTAAATCTAGCATATGAATAGTGAGTTACACCTTGGTTGGCTTAGGAATGGACAGCAGTTGTGACCAGAGGGTTTAAATGGGTATCCCCATAGTTGGGATGCAGGTACGGCAGCTAGTGTGGAACCTAGGG